AGTGAGCCGGGGTGCCGGCCTGAATATCAGTTTCAAACACTGTCGGGAAACTTGATTGAGTTTTCCTGGCTGCCTCCCGGCTTTGGCAAAGGTGTTCTGTAGCCGGACCTGCCGTGCTCCTGGGGACTTCGGCTGATTAGCTTTGTTGATCATAATGGTAGACAGCGGAGTCCCTGAGAAGAGCCAGAGGTGATCTGGGTTTCCCTGGGAGAGAGTGGCCCGAGGTCAGCTGTGTCTGTGTCCTTGGAGTGTCCCATTTCTGCTGCCTGCTGCCGTCCACACCCTCAGCCTGGCGACCAGGTACATAGTGTCGGACGTCGCAGCGTCACCATGCCTGTGTTGCCGATCGCATATGTGTGTGCGCGGGTGCGTGTGTGTGTGCGTGTGTGTTGGTGGTGGTTTTCTGTTTTGTTCTTTCAGTTCTGGTTTGTTGATGGTCCGTGTTCATCTCCTCCATTCATCGTTGTCTCACAGTGACATGGTAAAGCTCGTACAAGTCTCCAACGATGGCGGGCCCCTGGGGATCCATGTAGTGCCCTTCAGTGCTCGAGGTGGCAGGTAACGTATCCTGGAGGGTGTTCGCTCAATCGCATGGTGCCATGTTTATCTCATTTGTGCAAGGAGGTTGAGGGGAGCTGACTCAGCACACTGGGGTGCGATGTCTGCTATGTCGCGATCTGTCGATGTCCTCGCTGCAGAACGCACTTAGCCCGGGGAGGAGAGGCCTGGCAGAAGCGGGAGGAGAGTGCGTCTCAGCGGTCCTGCAAGGCTGTTACTGGGCCGTCTGAGCCAGTGTTGCACCTTGCTGTAAACTCTCAATGGATCATACAGTCACAGTGCAGCTGGCTTTGCAAAGTTAGCGCTGAATGGGGTTTTCTGGGAAAATTGATTGGAACAAAGCTGTCTGGATGACTTAGCTGGGATTTCATTTAAAATTTGTAATTGCATTTATTCCTTAATTGTGCAAGTTTCATAATATTTTTAAAAAACTTCAGGTTTGAAATCTTGGAAACCTGGGCAGGCTGTAGTCTTTCCTCCATCTGAGTGGCTTATGCCTCCCTCCCTCTAATTTCTGGACACTCAGAATCTCAGGCTTTTGTACTACTTATTAATCATGACCTCGTCACTTTACACTGCACACATCCTTGAAAATGTCAATTATCAGATGCGTTTCCTCCATTCTGCTCCTGCTCCTCTGTGTGAGAACTATCACTGTATTTTTGGTTTTGATATATTCAGATAGTTAGAACTGATATTGTAACTGTCACTCCTAGGGCATCTGCCCTGGGCTTGGGACACCCCTTGTAGCAGGGCACTCCTCCCTGGTAGATGGTATACATGCTGGCTTGCAGGTCCACACACTGTGATCCCCTGGTGGAGCATGGTTTTGAACATTGCTTAATTTTTAACACTATTTTCTATTTAAATTTTGTTAAGCTGGAGAAAGTAATGGGAGAAGCTAGCAAGTAGCCTTAGACCACCAAGACACACAGCACAGTTGTGCTCAGACCACCAGGACACACAGCACAGGTGCACTGAGACCACCAGGACACACAGTGCAGGTGTGCCCAGACCACCAGGACACAGCGCAGGTGCACTGAGACCACCAGGACACAGCACAGGTGTGCCCAGACCACCAGGACACACAGCACAGGTGTGCTCAGACCACCAGGACACACAGCACAGGTGTGCCCAGACCACCAGGACACACAGCACAGGGGTACTCAGAGCACACAACACAAGGGTGCTCACATCACCAGGACGCACAGTTTGTCAAAGACTGTTGGAGCAGTTGTACTACCTCCTCTTACGTTAGTAAATCTGGGGGGTTCAGATCTCAACTGCTTGGGCGAGCATTCAGAGGTGATGGGATTTCCTCCTGGGTTGCCCAGAGCTCTGATGCAGGCTGGCATGTGACAGGCTGGGCTGGATTGCCAGCTGTGAAATCCTCCTTGGATCTTTGGGTGGTTGTAGAGTTACAGCTTTGTGGCTGCTTTGCTTTTTTCCTCCTCTGTTTTTAAATAAATTACTTTTATTTAAGCATAATTTCATTACCTTTAAATTTGATGATTTTTATTGAATTTATTTTTATTTTCTCTTTGAAAAGCAGAGAAACAAATGGAGAAGCATAATTGCTATTCACTCTCCAAATCCCCACAATAACCAGGGCTAGGCCTGCTAAGCCAGCAACCAGGAACTCATTCCATCTCCCATGGGGGGGCAGGGACCCAAATACTTGACCCATCACTTGCAGCCTCCCAGAGTGTGCCTGAGCAGGAAGCTGGATCAGAAGTCTATCTGAGACTTAACTCCAGGCACTCCAGTGTACGATACTGGTGTCCCCAATGGGTGACTTAACTACTGTGCCAATTGTCCACTCTTTTTTTTAAATTCTGGAGAATTAGAATTTTTCAAAAAACTAATTTAAGCAACATTAATTGTTTTCCAGGTGGCTCTTGTCTTTGTTTTATTAAAACATACAATTGAAAATTATATAAAATATTATATATTTTCATCAGGGAAAAAAGGCCAGAAGGTAAAATGCATAAATTATAGTTTCCTTATATTATTGTTCCTTAAACTGCTTGTAAAATGTAACCCATCACAAATTGTGATTTAATTGTGTATGTGTATGTTCTGGCTATAGAACCAGTATGTCACTTATAAACATTTTATTGGTCATTTATTGCATATTTCTTGCCTCCATGCAAAAAGATACTGGGAAGAAATAAATAGGTAAAAGGAGAATAAGATAGAAAAAGAAACCTTCTGGGTAGATTAATGTGAAAGAATGCATTTCACAAAATTTATCCCAGTAGCTTTTGTCTGACCTTAGTTGGTTTGTTTTTTTTTTTTTTTTTTTTTTTTTGGACAGGCAGAGTTAGACAGTGAGAGAGAGAAAAAGGTCTTCCTTCCGTTAGTTCACCCCTCAAATGGCCGCTGTGGCTGGCGCGCTGCGCCGATCCAAAGCCAGGAGCCAGGCCCTGCATGGGATGCATCCTCCACTGCCTTCCCGGGCCACAGCAGAGAGCTGGACTGGAAGAGGAGCAACCGGGACAGAATCCGGTGCCCCGACCGGGACTAGAACCCGGGGTACCGGTGTTGCAGGTGGAGGATTAGCCTAGTGAGCCGCGGCACCAGCCCTGCATTTAGTTCTGATGCATCCAGACACATCCACATGATCAAGGGGTCTCTAGGCAGATCTGGAACTACTACTTCTATAGCCAAGTAATGTTTTTAAACATTTTATTGTAATTAGGGAGAAAGAGATCTTGCACCTGCTGGTTCTTTCCCCAGATGCCAGCAATAGTGGGGCTGGCCCAGGCGGATGCCAGGAGCCAGGGCCTCAATCCAGGTCTCCACGTGTGTGGCAGGAACCATATGTGGTCCATCATTGCTGCCTCCTGAGCACGTGAGCAGGAAACTAGATTAGAAGCAGAGTGGTAGCCAGGACTCAAGCCAGGCACTCAGGTGCGGGATGCAGGGAATCCACACAGTGTCTTAACCCACTGTGCCACAGTGCCCTCCCCTCTGAGTCAATTTTAATTCCCATTAATTTGACATTTGATATGGAAAATATTGTATGCTCCAAGATTTTGCAGCTTTCCTATATAAGGAACAAGGCTTTGAGAAAAGCCCTTTCCCCCCAACTTAAAGCCTTTTTAGGCATCACCAAGCTCTGTATGGAGACTGAACAGTAGGATGCAGGGGTTTGCTGTCGAGGTGAGTGACAGGTGGGATCTCAGGCGTGCTTAGCAGGTCCTGGGGAGCCTGGTAAGCAGCAGCTGCTGAGGTCCCTGAATTTGGCTTGTGGCTTGAGAGGGGAGCTGCATGCGTCCCCAGGGAGAGACGGTACGTGAAGCAGGGCCAGCTAGCCGACAGGAGGAAATGAAGTGCAGCTCAGGAAGAAATTGCGCATGCCTCTGGTGGGAATGCAGGAGTCATCTTTGTGGTGGTGGGTTGAAATTTCTGAGAATAACCTCCTCGGCACGAAATTCCAATCATCCTTAGGCCATCTCCATTTGGGAGACAGAAATAATTGAACAACCCTCACTGAATGCTTATTTTTATAAAGGTCACCAGTACCAGTCAGACACACTGTCTCGTTTAGATGTTCAAAGTCAAAGGGTCTTAAGGAGAAGGGAGAGTGGGAGCTTTGTATTAGAACAAGAAGCTGCCTGCTCGGCACCACCGTCCGTGCCAAAGATAATTCAGGGATAGGAACTTGCGTGGCCAACATCGGGCAGATTTTTAAGGCCACTGTGGACCTGCTGTGGTCTGCATACTTGTGCAGTTGTTCATAGTTGGGTGGGAAGTTCTGTGTACATGACTGGAATTGTAACATATTGGCAGAGAGCAACAGAGTGATTTTTAGGAATCACTTTATGAAATGCTTTCAAGTCCCGGTCAGGCATTGTACTAATTCAGTAAATAATGGGATTGATGAAGGTTTTCAAGCAAAATGATCGTGTTCTTTTAAAAATTACTCTGATTTTTGCTTGAGCGCCACAGTCTAACATGCAGTGGATATTCTAAATTTTTCCAGTATAGAAACAAGTATTGTTAAAATGTATTTTCAAGTTTCTTCTTTATTTGCAAGGCAGAGACACAGATCTTTCTTTGGGCAGTCCTGTGCCGGGACTCGGGAACTCGGTCCGGGTCTCCCCTGTGCGTCGCAGGGTCCCAGCTATGGAGTCTCCACCGGTACCTCTCCGAGTGTGCACTGGCAGGGAGTTGGGCTCAGGAGCCAGATCCTGGACTCTAACCCAGGCACTCTGAAATGGGGTGCAGGTGTCCTACTTAACATCGAGGCCAAACACCTGCTCCAACCATGGATTCTTAGAAGAAGGCCAGCAGCTTTTCTAGGTCACCTCCCACGCCCATTTGTACACACGGACAAAGCTCACTGCCACCTCCAGTGTTTGTGTATGTGTGTGAGTTCACACTTGGGTATAGTGTGTTCGTGTGGGTCTGTGTGTAGTTTTCTGCCACTGCCTGTGTCCACAAATGCCCTGCTTATTCTCAACATAGTTTTTACAAATATGGCACTGTTGGACAGGTTATTTTTGCTTTTTATTCTCAAAAGGATCTTCAGTGATACTGAGAGCATCAGGTGCAGCATCGATATGGTGTGGACAGACTCTTCAGGTTTCTGTTCGTGACTTTTGCCCTCCAGACTTAGTCCCTCATTATCTGTAATTTCTGCCATCTAAGCTCAGGAAAACCCATTCGCATACCTCAGAGAGTGATAAAGAATGCTTGGGAGTTTTGACTTGAAATAGAAGTAAGCCTGCAGGAAGCTGTGTATTCCACATGTCATGTTAGTTGTGTTCTACACGTGTCTCAGCACAGGCTAACTAGGAAATGGGGGACATGCGTAGTCACTGAAAGATCAGCGAATGGGCTTTGGGCATCCTGTATACTTAGTAATTCCTGCCTGTTAAGTCCGTGCATGTGGTTCTGACCACGGCCTTCTCATCCACTCAGCAGCGTCTGGGCATGATATTCGTGTCTCCTCAGATTTCCATGGTTACAGCCCTTAGCTTATCTGAGTGTAT